GGCAAGTTCTTGCTACGTGGTTCAGCCAGGCCTTGGCCTTAAACTCCCTTTGTAGCCCAGGCTGGTCTTGAACTCACATCAGTCTTTCTGGCTCAGCCTCTTCAGTGCAGGGATCACAGGCATGCGCCACCACACCCAGCCAGGGTAAATATTAGATACGATTTAGCCTACAGAGGGAACGAAATGCTTCATAAATGAATATGGGATTCCCTCAGCCAAATAAATGACTAGTATGGCTGCCATCATTATATCTGGGAAGATAGGATTCACTGGGATGGCTGGCCTAATCCTTCTCCATGCTCATGGAGGGAAATGTTGAGCTTGTTCTGCCTCAGTTTCCTTTCCTGTCTGATCCCCTGCTGATGAGGAGGCAATATTAGCCCTTGGATTCCTTGCTCTCACCTTCCCAGGCTGAAGGTGGCAACTCATGGGCGACTGTCTCACTAACTCCACACAGCGTGTGAGGGGAAGAGTTTTTTTCTGATCTCTTTTTGGGTCTCTTCCTGTCACTTTGTACTTTCCTTTTCTGGAGGCATGTTTCTGCTAGAGAGAGAGAGAGAGAGAGAGAGAGGGAGAGAGTGATTGAAAGATTTTAGTCCCAATCTGTCTCATCCTTTCTCTCTTTTTCAGCAATTAAAGCTCTCAAGGTGAGCCCACTGAAAATGAGCATTTGACTACAAAAATTCTAAAGACAGGAAATCATTTACCACCCATCTCGGGCAGATGAAACCGGAATTTTGCTCATCCAGGAGGACACACATGCAAGCAAAGTCCCTGCTCAGTGTCTGCAGCACAGCTCCTCACTCAGTGGCTGCGGGAAACTGGGCCTGCCACCCAGTGGAAAGAACTGAACTCTAGGTGACCCAGGGGAACTATTTCCATAACCACAATATCCGAGGGGCCAAAACACGTTCAGTTCAGGGGAGGATTTCTAAACTGCTCTTTCAACCTCCCTTTCTAAATTGAAGGGCATAACCTCAGCCTACCTGGCACCATGGCTCTCCTTTTCGGGTTGCTGGGCTCATGCTCCAAACCATGAAGATACAAGTGGCAAATCAGGTGATAAAATGATACTACCCACAGGACTTGGTAAAGTCTATGGAACTTCGACTGAAAAGGAGCTCACTGGTTTATTGTCTTCTCTTGTGCTCACACTCAAAAAAGACCCCAACATCCTAGCTTTCTCTGCTCCTGTGTCTGGTTCTCATCCTTTATGAGTGCAAGGGAAGGAAGAAATTTCCAAATGTACTTTCACTAATGTGTAAGTTGTAGTTGCTGGACAATGAATACAGGTTTTAACTTGTGAGTATCATAAGCATGTTAGAGATACTGAGACATAAAAATCTTCAGAATAGTTTTCAAGTAAAACCTAACCTTGCCTTGATACTAAGAAAAATTGCCTAGGTTATTAGATAAATAGCACAAAATGTCTCAGAGACTTCTTTGCCTTAGGGCCAGAAGGCAGGATTTTTCTCAGTCTCTATTTGCCTCTATCTATTCCTGGCAGTGATAGATCTCTTTTTCAAGCTGGGGTTTTAGAACATCTTGATTCAAAGTCTTAAAATAAAATTAGAAAGTAAGCTCTAAACGATATAGTTGGAGCACTCTCAATCTATGCTTTGACTTTTTTCTTCTCTCTCTCACTCTCCTTCCAAAAGTTGGAAAGCAGTTTTTCAGGTCTCTTGATCATTGGTTTAATTTTCTTTAGCAATTCTTCCCACTTCAAACATAGCTGTTATAAAGGGAGTCACTTGTAGTTTGTGCTTTTGGAAATACACTTTGGAGTTAGAAATGGGAGTTTTCAGAAGAACGAGAGGCACATGTCAGTAAAGGTGGCTATTCTGGCCTGACCTATCTTATCTTCTGGTCACTCTCCAGATAGCAACCATCTGCTCTGGGGTAAAGAAACTGGGGGAGTTTCCCCGAGAGAATATAAAAAACAAGTAGGGATTAATAAGGATGTCATATTTTTCCCCTTCTTGTTTTACAGATGGGAAACTCAATGTCAAATTCCCTTACTCCTTTAGAGTGTACTCTTGGGGGTGGGGGGCGGGATCCAAACTCACAACCTCACACTTGTCAGGCAGGCACTGTGCCACTGAACCATTTCCCTGGCCCTAGAGTTCCTAAGCATTGAAATTTGTTCAACCCCTTATACTTTGAACAAAAGCTATTTAATATTTTTTTACACTCACGCACAGCCTGTCTGTACCATAGAGGCACAGTGGAACTCAGAAGAAAGTATAGAGTACAGTACTATTTTACAGTACAGTTGTACTGTAATAGAAAGGGAAAATGATTAGAAATACCTTATCTTCAGACTTTCTTTGCACCAAGAGACAATCCAGGCTTGTGTTCAAAGTGTAGCTACCAGCTTCTGGGAAACAGATACCTCTCACTCTTAAGGGGCAATCTGATGCATCTACCATTACTGAATCTGAAGTTTCCCTCCATTGTCCTCTGTACCCTAAGGCTGAGACTTCTAAACCAACTCAGCCACTTCTGGGCTGCATCCACCTCTATCTGATTCAGACTTCTCAAGGATAGTATCTCTTAGAGAAGGGAGTGGAGAATTGGTCCTGCTTGGGTCCATGTCCTTTGCTTTTAACATCCTAAAACGGGTCAAATAAGATCTGAGAGTCTTCAGACCATCTCGATAAGTACATTGGGAACTTACTCAGACCTGCGAACTGGAGTAAAAAGATGTAATGTTGTTCTAAAGTAAACATTGACTTCTTATGAGATACAGATAACATTAAAGGCTGCAATTACATTTGGAGATGAATATTATGTTGTTCATTTTTAAAAAGACCCAAAGAGAGATAGCAAGAGAAACAGCCAGCTCCTACTGAAGCCCAGGTTGTACATATACAAGATTTCTATTTGCTTTCATAGGTGAAAAGGATTTTTCCTTCTGATTCTTTTAGTATAAAAGAGCTCTGTTAATTGATGACCTATAAGAAAAGTTCTGTTTGTAGTAACAAACCTAAAAAAATTGTCAAAGAGTTATTGTAGCTAAATTTGGCCAAATAGATCTGAGAGTGCACTCTAATTTATATGTAATTCTCTTATGTATGTTTATCTGTCTGTTTAATGTGTGTTAATAATGGGTTAAAGCACCTACAGCTGGTTCATTTAAGAAAAATAATTTGTTTAGCCAGGTGTAGTGGTACACACCTGTAATCCCAGCACTCAGGAGGCCAAGGCAGGAGGATCATTGCAAGTTTGAGACATGCCTGGGCTATAAAGTGAGTTCAAGGCCAGCTCAAACTACATAACAAGACCCTTTCTAAAAAAAAGGTACTAAAAAAAGAAAAGAAAAATAATTTTTTATATATTTATGACTGTGACCTCCTCCTCTGGGATTGTTCCCTTTACAAGGATGCACTGACTTTCTTTGTCTTTCTTAACCAGTCTTGGGTTGAAATCCACTTTGAAAATAGAACAGCCACAATTGCTTTTTTTTTCCAGGTTGCAGTCACAAGGAGAATTGTTTTTCACCCTTTGACTTTCAGTATATGAATTCTTTTTTGAATTAAATGTGTTTCTTATATTAGCATATTGTTGGATCTTGCTTCTTACTCCAGTCTGCCATTGATGGTTGTAACTGAAATGTATTGATTTATCCTTGTCAGGTTATTTTCTTGTTATTGGCTCCTTTTCTTTCCCCTTCTGTCATATTGATTGCTTTGCCTGAAAGATTCATTCTGTTGGTTCACAGAGTCTTAATCCTTATTATCTCTTTCAAAGAATGTCCCTTCAGAACATTTTGGAGTGGTGATTTGGTGTTCATGAATTTCTGCAGGTGTTCTTTGTCATGGAAATATCTTATTTCTCTGTCAATTTTAAAAGATAGTTTTGCAGGGTACATCAACCTGTGTTGGACAGCATTTCTTTTAAGAGTTTGAAATACTTCATGCCAACATTGCAAGCTCTCCTTGACTTGTTGGGGTTTGTGTTGAGAAGTCAGCTGTGATTCTTATAGACTTTCCTGTATAGGTGATTTGTTTCCTTTTTCTAACAGCTTTTAATATTCTGTTGTCATGTTGAATTTCTGGAATCTTGACTATTACATGCCTTGGTGTAAATGTTTTTGATCATGACTAATGGGAGTTCTATATACCTCACTTATCTGTATGTCAAATTCTTTAACCCTATTGGGAAGTTTTCTGTCACTACTTCTTGAACAGATTCATGTCATCTGTGCTATCTGCTGATTTTAATTGACTGTGATCAATCTTATGTTATTTTTCTTTGTATCATCTAGCAGCTGCTGGATTGATTTTTAAATTTTTTTTATTTTTAAGAGAATAAATAAAAGAACAGAACAAAGCAAATCAGAACAGAACAATGCAAGCAACACAGCACTTCTCAATAAGAAAACTGAATATCAACAGTAGATACCGTAATGTCTCTTTTCTTTGAAACAGTTGAGCATACCTTTGCACACAATAATATCAAATATAACAAAATAGTTAAAACTATTCAAGAGAATGATAGCATTATAGGACTTTAAAACCAAATAACAGGAAATGAACAATGGTTACTATATCTCATTTTCCTTAAAAAACTTATTTATACCATCACACATAATCAAATCAAATCAAATACAACAGGATAGAACCAATCAAAACAGAAGAACAAAAGCATGGTAAGACTTCAAAGCAAAACAATAGTAAATCAGCAATGGCTACCATAATGTCTTGTTTTCTTCAAAATAGCTGTTCATACTATCACATATAATAAAATCAAACAAAACAATAAAACCAATCAAACCAATGAATGAAAGCATTATAAGAGCAATATAGGAAACCATGATTACCATAAAATATCCCATTATATTCAAAATAGCTGCCCTATCATCTGATGGCATAAAATCTAACAAAACAAGCCAGAACAAAGCCAAACTTCACAAAATTGTGTAAACAATGCAAGAGCTCAATAAGACAATAAGAAATTGACAGTAGTTTCTACTTTTCCCACCCAGATGTTTCTTCCCCTTTGCTCTTACATTAACTATTTCGCTTTTTGATCCCATTAACTCCTGTTTCTTATGCTAGGGTTTACATGTATAAGTTCAAATTATTTTGGCCATGAATATGATCTCCAGTTTCGTCCATTTACCTACAAAAGCCTTGAGATTATTCTACTTTATAGATGGGTAGCTTTCCACTGCATGAAAATACCATATCTTTCTTATCCATTCTGTCGTTGATGGGCAAGTTACTTTTGCTTTTTTTTTTTTTTTTTTTTTTTTGTCTCCTGTCACATGGAACAATTGTTTTCTGTCCTTTAATTTTCAGTCTATGAATTTCCTTTCCAGTTAGATGTGTTTCTTGTATACAGTATATCAAAGGATCTTGTTTCTTGATCTGCTCTCCCTGTATTGCTTTTCATTGCTGACCTGAGGGCATATACATTAATGGTTACAACCGGCATACATTTGTCTCTGCCCTGCTATCCCCCTGTTATTGGCCCTCCCTCCACTTGTTCCATTCATTCAATTGCCTGTCTTGTTTGGCAGTCCTCCTCTGCTGCTGTTCCTGGAACCATGGTCATCTTTGTCTATCTCTAGAATATTCCCTAGCACTCTCTGTAGAGTTGGTTTGGTTATCATGAATTCCTTCAGTTGCTCTTTATCATGGAAGTGTCTTATTTTTCCACCAATTTTGAAAGATAGTTTTTCTGGTTAGATCAATTTGGGTTGGGAGTTGTTTTCTTTTAGGGTTTGAAGCACTTCAAACTCTTCTTGACTTATGGTTTGTGTTGACAAGTCTTCTGTGATTCTGATTAGTTTTCCTTTATAGGTAATCTGTCTCTTTTCTCTAACAGCTTTTAATATTCTGTTCTTGTGGTGAATTTCTGGGGTCTTGATTATTCTATGTCTGGGTGTAGATTTACTTTGGTTATGGCTAGTTGGAGTCCTATATGCCTCACTTATCTGCATGCCAGATCTATTTCCCATGTTTGGGAAGTTTCTTTTATTACTCCTGTGAATATCCTTTTATTTCATTCGTGTTGATCCCTGCTTCTTCACTGATACCTACCACTCTTAAATTATGCTTCTTTGCACCATGTCGCAGTCATTGAATTGTTATTTCCTGAGTCTGTGTTATTGTTAAGAGATCCTTCCTTTCACGATCACTAGCTGCAATCCTGTCTTCAAGAGTTGAAAGTCTATCCTCAATCTCTTTCAAGCGGTTTTTCCATCTTTTGGTTGAATTTTTAATTTCTTGCATCTCTCTTTAAATGTTTCATACATTGTAATTCCTTTCTACATTCATTAAAGGTTTCCATCATTTTCCTATGCTCCTCTTTATTGTCTATGTCTTCTTTAGACCTGCTTGACAATTCTTTCAGTATGTTTGTGATTTCTTCTTTTACCTGAGACATTATTTCTGACTTGACTGCTTTTACAATCTCATGAAGTTGTTTTCTTACTTCAGTTGCTATTCTCTCAGAGATTTCAGGTGTGGGGCTTCTGTTTTCTTCCATGACTGTATCTCCCAGACTTATTGTGTGTGGGCTAGAGGTCTGAGTTTGCCTTTTGCTCCTTCATCTTGGCTTATCCTGGGTTCCTCCCAATAAGCTGGTTGTGGGGTCCCAGGCACTTCCTGTGTTGGCTGCCCCTAAGTTGTAGGGGGATGGGACAGGCACCTGGGTTCCTCTAATTCCAGATTTACAGGGAGGTAGCAGGGTGTGGAGTGGGCTTCTCCAGAGCTATGCTGTTACACTGGGGCTTCGCTGACAATCAGGGGTGCATGTAGGTGGGGCTGCTTCTCTCAGCCTGTGTGTCTTCAATGGATTCCCAAAATGGTGGCAGCCACACATGGGTGTGTTTGTCTGACTCTGCTAGTGGATGGTGGCTGTCGGAGGGAACCAAGGGCCTCAAATGGTGGCCTATTGATGCACAGGGCTTACCTGGCTGTGTGTCCCTGCTCCTGTTGGCTGTCTGTAGGAAGGAGCCTTCTCGGGGCAGCTTCCTGAAAGTGAAGGTGGATCTGCTGGTTCTCTCTGCCCACACTGGCCTCCTGTAGGACATGGCCTTTTGGTGGCAGCACACAGTAGGCAGAAGTGGATCTGTCTGTCTCCTTCGGCCCATGCTGGGTGCACAGAGGAAAGTGCCTTCCACTGGCGGCACCAAGCAGGCAGAGGTGGGGCTTCTTCTGGTTTTCTCTGCCCACACTGGTAGCGTGAAGGAAGGAGCCTTCAAGTGGTGGTGCCCAGCAGGCGGAGGTGGATCTTCTTCTGATTCTCTCTTGGATTGATTTCTTGTGGTCCCTTGCTATTCCTAAGAAATCTTTCTTTTTCATGATCACTAACTGCAAGCATGTCTTGTATATCTGAGATTTTTTTCCTCACATTGGTTTATTCTGCTATGAATATTTACAATGGAATTTTTAGTCTCTTAGATGTCTGCTTGAACCTGTTTTATGGGTTACACTTCTTTTCTATATTGAGTGTTCATGATTTCCATCATTTTCCTAAGCTCTACTCTAACACTGTATCTGCTTTACAGTCACTAACATGGTTTTCATTGTGGTCACCATCTCTGTAGTTATTTGAGAAATTACTTGGTATTTTTGTAAAGTGTCATTCATTTGCTTATTGTTATCATCTGAGAGAGCCCGAATGGGTGGCTGTGGGATTGTTATGGTTTGTGTTTAAATGCTTCCCCAAAGCCTAATGCAGTCGTGAAGGCAGCTGAATCTGGTGTTTGTGATTGGCTCATTGTCTAGCACTAAGATTGATGGTGTGAGTGCTGTACCTGCCCAGGGGCGGGTAACCAACATACGGTATAAGAGAAGGCAGGAAGCATGCCTTTCCCTTTTGCCTTTTTGTTCTTGTTGCTTCTGGTATCTGCTGCATTTGCCATGTTGCCCCTTAGCCATACCATCCTGTCTTGGAACCAACAAATTATGGACTGAAATTTCCATGGACTGTGAGCTAAATAAACCTTTTCTTCCCTCATTTTAGTTTTAGGTATTTGTCTCAGCAATGAGAGAACAATAATCAAGACAGGAATTATTCCACTTTATTGCCTCCTTTGTTTGCTTATGGTGAACTGGATGTCTGGGATTCCATCTGGTTTAAGTGCTTTCTCATTTTTTAATTTTATTTCTTTGCACATATGATGAGCTGCTTTTTTGTTAGTATTTAAAACCCTTAGGAAATGACTGTTTCTCAAGGGTATCTTCCAGGTGTAGCTAGTTTTTGGTTTTGAGTATGTTGCAAGATCCTACCTCTTCAATTTTTGGGGGATATGAAGTTGCTGACTGCTTGCCTCAGCCTCTGGTTCTCTTGGCACTGGCTCATAGCATTTTCTGTAACCCTTAAGCAATCTCAGCCTTGGTATTCAAGGAAAAACAATTGGTTAGAACAATGTTACCCTAGCTAAAATGGTACCATCAGCAATAACAATAGCATCAAACACTGGCTAGAAAATGACAAACTGAGGCAACCATTAATTTGCCACATTTAACTGTATGAACTAGATTTGTGGTTACACAACAAAATCTAAAACAAACCAGAAAATTGTATGCAAAAAATATGCTGATTTTACCCTTAGAGAAGAAATTTTAAAAGGGGTTATGGAAAAAAACAGAGAACTAGAAGAGGAAGAGATTAGAAGCGAGGCTGGAGAATAAAAGAAGGTCATATAAACTTTGGGAAAATTGTTCAGAAAACAAAAAGAAAGGTGAGAAGAAATAAATAAAAGGAAGGACAGCACAGAACAATAACCACAAAGAAAACTATAAACCACATTCACACATAAAACAAGATCAAACAATGAAGAAAAAATTTAAAAAGCAAAAACAAACAAAAAAACAAGAGATCCATTTCAAGGTTTATCTTTCTGCTGTCATTGGTGGACAACATGTGGAAATAGAGTCCAGATTTGTGTTGACTTATTTCAACAAGCCAGCAGTAGCTTTATAATGGGTAGTGAGTAATCTCAGTGAACCTGCACCTTTATTTTCCTTGAAGATCAGCTTGGTTTCTTGCCATGAGGCTGGAGCCAGACCTGTTCAGCCTGAAGCAGCCAGCATAACATCTGTGGGTTTGAACTCAGCTGAGAGCTATGACTGTTCTGAGTTCTGAGCCCAGTTGACTCCTCTCCAAGGTGGCTCCGGGCCCATCACTCTCTCCTGTAGCTAAACCCAAGGCACTCAACCAGCTAGTGAAGTCCACAGTATCATCTCCTCCCTTATACTGCTGCATCTCTCAACGGAGGCCTCTTGAGTTTCCAGCAGCCACCAACTGTCTGCAGGTTTGAACTGCTCCTTGCATGCAGTGAATCCCAACTCAGGGAGAAGGTGCCAGCTGCCATCTTCTTCTTTGTTGAAATTTCTCTCTTCACTCCCCCGCAGACTTCAATTCTTGCTCAGATCTTTCCTGAGTCCAGGTGACCACTTCCCATCTTCTTTTCTTCCTCACATTGCTGTATTACAGTGTCCGGACAGAAAATCTCAGGTTCTTCTGTGCTGCTTACCACTCTCATCTTCCTGGAAGTAAAAGAAAAGTTTAGCTCAATAATTCATTTTTCTTTTTATTTGTTGATTCTTTTTGAGATTTCCATGGAAAAACATCTATATAGTGTATCAGGGCAGCTAAATTTTTTTTACAAACATTAAAAGACGAGGACTGATGTCTCAAGGCTTACACAGGACTTACAAATAAAATTTTAAAGCCTGATAACACCAAGGTTATATATTCCAGGTGTGGTGGTGCATGCCTGTAATTCCAGCACTTGAGAGGCCGAGGCAGGAGTATTGCTTTGAGTTTGAGGCTAGCCTGACCTACAAAGTGAGTTCAAGGCCAGTCTGAATGGCAGAGTGAGACCTTGTCTCATGAAGACAAAAAAAGTTACGTAAAACTTAGGTTAATATGTATGTTTCTATGTGTTAACATTTAAGACTATACATTATCCTCTAAGACTTATATTTAAGTTGGTTTATAGATGAATATTCAAAGACATTACTAAAATACTTGTGGTTCATTAGCTTAACAGCAGGTTAATTTAAATCTCTTGGTAAGAGTAAAGATATCTTTAAAATTGGTAACAAATTTATATCCAGCTTGTTAGCTAATTGAGATAATATCAAAATGTTGGTTTTATTAATGTAATGTCTTTGCTTTTTGCCTACAGTAACTTAAAGAGTTTTTCCTTGGTTGCAGATAATGTGTACAGTTCAAAGTGTTTAAATGTTATGATTTGGTTTTCATGAGTCATTTAACACAATTGTTAAGATATATTTAAGTTGACTATAATTAAGAGGATAACATTCTATATCTAAAGCAATAAAGTTTTCTTAATATATTGAAATGTTCTTGGTTAAACTTATAAAACAAAATTTAAATGCAAAAGTTTCCATATTTTACTAAAATACATGTTTGGCTGCTAAAAACTGAATTTAAGAGTTAAAGAATATTCAAATGTTAATCTATGAAATGTTTTCAATAAAATCGGTTCATGATTATTGGTCTATGACATAACATATATTTGGATATATATCAGTGTAGACATCTAAAAACAAACTGCTGTGAGTCTAAGTTGTTTATAGAGTTAAGATTATGTAAATTTAATGCATACCAATTAGTTAATAGGTGCTCTCTTTTATACAATATCTTTAGCCCTTAAACATGTAAAGTGATCAAAATTTGACATCTCTTTAAATCTGGTCTTGACATTTAAGCTTGTTCTATATCTATGGCTTTTGTTTAAATAAGCATTTTGTTTCTGTATAAATGAGATACACTATATTGGGTAATAAGACTATTGTCATGAACACTGTTTATTAAATTTATCTATAAAAATGTCTTTCATTCTTATCATTATACTTTCACCTTACAAAACCTGTTAAAAGGATCTAAATTTGCTGTAAAAATAAACACTAAGTTAATACACACGGGTTTCTATATGACTGTGACATTCAATATTACTGATTTTATGGTATATTAAATGTATCTGTGTTTTCCAAGTGTACAAGCCCCTTTTAAAATTAAAAAAAAAAAACATTCTACAGGTATTTAACCTCTAAAACAACCATAACTGGTAAAGAAGTAACAGTTCAATCTTGGTGTGGTGGTTTATGCCTATATTCCTAGCATTCAGGAAGCTGAGGCAGAAGGATCACAACAAGTTTGAGGCCAGTTTAGACTACATAGTTCAAGACCAGCCTGGACTATATAGCAAGATCTTGTCTCAGTAAATAATAGTTCATCACTCATAACACATATTTCAAGATGCTCAATATCTACATAAGATCATAAAATTAAACCTACTGCTCCCACTATAGTACTGATGTAACTGATTTTCTCTTTCGGGTGCTAAACCACTGATGTTTGGAGACCAAAACTAGAAATATAACTGGTATAAGAGGACAGCAACTACTTTGGCCCTGGTCCTTCAAGTTCAGTGAGGACCCAGGACATGAGGGGACCTTTTTGATGGGATTCTACAACTTTGATGCATCACCAAACCTTCTCCTGAACAGGGAAATTTTACACCCCAGAGAACAGGAGTCAACCAATGCACAGTGTACCAAAGAGGAGAGTCACCAAAGAGGGAAAGTCTCCCATGCTTTCACAGATAGCATCATGATCAAGCAAGACCATAACCCATCCTCGCAGGTGACACTGACAGGAGAGCATGGTCCAAAAGTAAGGCCCGAGGAGACTTAAAATGACCTTGCTATACAGTGAAAGGTTGATTTCAATTAACATAGGTCTCAGTTTAACTTGGTCTTAAACATCCAGCAGAAAAGTATAACCAAAAGAAGTATACAAATCATACTATATTAATAAAGGCTAGTTATAGAAAGGGGGCTCCAGTCACTAACATTTTGGGGCAGTTTCCAGTACACTTGTGCACACTGTTACAGTTGAATGAGGCTAGAAAGCTACAGTGGGCACTATAAAGGCTCAGTAAAAATCTTTAAATTCCTTAGCTAAACCTTTCCTTTAAAACCACCATACTCTTTATCTTCTTACAACTAAAACTAGAGAGACTTGTGACAAAGGAATATTGAATTTGTAAATAACCTCCATCAGTTAGAGGGCTCTAAGAGCCAGCTAGTTCCCATCATGGTACCAATCCCTGAAGAGCAATGTGTCTTTTCCCCAATCTGCATTGCCATTCTAGTGCTAATGCTTTCATTGTGTGTGCTTTAATTTCGTGGAAGATTTATTTATTCTCTTCTAGAGGCTGCCAAATTCCAAGTGATTGTATAGACATAACCAATGATAAATGTGCAGGCTCATTTTACTGGAAACCACTGCATTGATCTTATAAAGAGAGATCGTAACTGCTAAACTACAACATGATATCTATCCAAGGCCCATTCGATTAGCTCTCTGGAGGAGAACCTTCACCAACTCCCTACACCAACTTTTCTCAGCTCAAAGCAGCTAGATTGAAACTATGTACATTCTCCCCTAGCCATAATTAGGGATAGCAATTGAGAAGAGGGAATACTATAGGCAGATAAATTATATAGAAATTAATATACAGTCAGAGCGGGACTGAGCTCTCCAGGAATCAGCAGAAAAATACAAACATCAGACTTATGACTGGAGGGCACATCTGAAGAAGACCAGGCCTCCAGATAAAGGTGCAGAGGTCAGGCCTACGTGTAGGCCTCGGGGATAAGGTGTAACTTGGAATTATACTATAATTAGCACCACCTGGTCCAGGAAGTCCAGCCAGACATCAGTTGCCTAGCTGGGTGTCCAGAGCACATGGACTCATCCCTTCCCCAGTATGCCTTTGTTCTTTCCATGTACCCTTCCTATGTGACCCATCTCCCTATTGGATCAACATTAGCTAAGTGGTTATACTTGAATCTTATTGATTTATTACAGTTTGACCCACACTGTACTGATCTGGTGATTTTTCTCTATAAAACATTCTTAGAGAAATTATCTTGGTGACAACTCCCTTCTGGCACCCCTCTTGTTTCTGAGAAGCTGTCTCTCCATAAATCTCCCCTTTTTGTACTGGGGATCGAACTCATGATCTCACACTTGCCAGGCAGATGCCTAGGCCACTGAGCTAAATCCCCAGCCCAAATCTTTCCTATTCTAGTAGTCTGTTAACAATGTTATCTATTGTTCCTCAGAATTCATTCTTCGATTTTGGGGACATGAATTGGACACATCTGAAATCTAGCAGGCTGGGAGTTGCATTTCTCCTGTTATCAGTTGCACTGTTGAATTTGTATCTCTTTTTCCCCACTCAGTTTCTATCTAACTTAGCTGCCTATAATACTCTCACAGTCCATTCCTGGCCCCTGTCCAATTTCTGCTGCAATAATCTCAAGACACTGACAAAATTCAAAAGTTTTTGTCCCTTGGATTTCATAACTTAGTACTATTTTTCAGTTCTGTCTTCTCCTAGATCATGGAGAAGTTGTTTCTGTCCATAGAAGGTCCCATCTCTCAGGATCCTAGTGATATCAGTGTCAGACATTTCACTGTAGTGGCTATGTGGTCACAAAGTCTAAACATTTTTCTCACACCACATGTATTTAGAATTTAAAGGCAAGGGCATGAATGTCTGGGCTCTTTGTCACCTTTTCTACTGAGAACCCAAACATGATTTCCCTGACTCTCTTTGGGGAAGAGCACTGTCAAAAAATCTAGGGCTAAGATAGTAATTCAGTGATAAAGCACATACAAGCAACAGTCCCTGGGTTCGACTCTAGGCACCAGCAAAGAAAATCTTGGTCTTTTTCTAGTAGTCCAAAGACTCCTTGAGTCACAAAAATATTGTGGAAAACTTTGGGTTTAGTTTGTTGTGAAGGAAAGATTGATGTGACAGTGATGAAGGACCTCCATATTATACAGGGAAACATTGTAACTCCCAACCAGCTAGATGTCACATACACTAAGTTTGTGTTCCCCGAAATTGAAGAATGCTAAGGACCAACAGAGGTTAACAAGTGGAAAACTTTATTGGGAGAGATAGCTTGCAAGAGATAGGAGAGGGCCCACTTCTCAAAGGAAGTTTTATAGAGGAAAATCATGGGATGGGTACAAAATCATGAGGTACTTACAATGTGGAACAAAACTGATCAATAAAGAAGGTTATAAGTATAGCCTCTCGGGTAATGTTGATCCGATGAGGGCAGCAAGTCATGTAGCAAGTATACATGGAAAGAACAAGGACTATTTTGGAAGAGATGCGTTAGGAGGTCCTGGTCACCCACCTGGGTGATTGATGTCTAGCTAGACTTTATTGGATCAGGTGATACCAATCAGTTTTCCAGCTTGTCTCTTGAAGAGGCATGCAGGCCTGGTCATTCCATTTTTATCTTGAGGGCTGACTCTGAAATGGATGCACCTCCAGCCCCAGCTGTAATGTGTTCGAATCCTCTGCACTGACCCTCAAGGGCCAGCCCTGTCTGACTGCCTATACTATGTCTACCTGACTTAGCTGTCTATAGCAACAGAGTTGCACGCATACTTTCAGCAAACTGGTCCTCAGCTCTCTCCCTACCTCTGTAACTGGCACTGTAAATGGTACTGCAAAATGGAACTTTAAAAGTTAGGGATTTTTCCCCTTAGAGACAAGAGGCTTCCTGAGGCCTAGGAATACACAGCTCCCCCACCTCTTCTCAGCCCAGATGAATGGGATATGCAGACGTGGACACCAAGAAGCAGGGAGCCCAGTTTTCTTTCCCCAAAAAAGAGGACAGTGAGCTGAATATGGCTACAAGTGGTAACGGAAAGGTGGAGTTTTGCATCATCTCTGTGCTCCCCTGTCCTCTGCTCCTTAGTACGCTTGCCCACCTGTAAACAGGGAAGTGGTGATTTGAGGCAAATGGCCCCCTCCATCTTTTTTTTTCTTTCTTTTTCACGTCAAATGGGTAATGTGCCGATGTCCTAAAAAGGTTCAAAGGAGACACATGTCATGCATGGAGCATGAACACCCAATCATCACACTTATGAACCTGAGGATCAGCCCCCTCCATCTTTTCAGAAGTGGCTTTGAATCCATTCCCTTTTCCCTTCCTACCAAAATGTATGACCACATCTGGTTTGGTCAATAGTGAGCAGATGCGGGGGCTGGGGATTTAGCTCAGTGACATAAGGACCTGCCTTGCAAGCAGGCGGTCGTGAGTTCGATCCTCGGTACCGATAAAAAAGAAAAAAGAAAAAAAAAAGTGTAAGAAAAAAAAAATAGTGAGCAGATGCACCTAAGTGGCCAGGAACACCTCCCCGGAAACTGCTAGGTTCCCAGGTAGTTTGCTGCCCTGGGCTTCCGTTGGCCCTCAGTTCCTAGGATTTATCCTTATTGTTTCCTTAAAATTACAGCTGTTAGGGCTGGGATATTGCTCAGTGGCAAAGCGCCTGCCTGGCAATTACAAAGTCCTGAGTTTAATTCTAGTACCAAAAAATTAAAAATTACAGGTACAGGTGTGCCTGCTGCAGTTCTTGAATCATCCCCCCCACACACATACACACACACACACTGCACTTAGTACTAGGAACTGATTGTGTCCCTGAGATGGCATCTTGAATCATCATAACTGAACATGGACAATCAGGAATGCTTCTGGCCTTGGGGAAAATTGTTTCTTTCTTTCTTGTTTTTTGTACTGGGGATAGAAATCACAACCTCGCACTGACCAGGCAAGCTCTTGAACCACTGAGCTAAATCTGATGTGGGAAAAATTGTTAACAAATAAGAAATGCTGGCCAGGCATGGTAGCGCATGCCTGTAATCGCAGCACTCAGGAGGCTGAGGCAGGAGGACTGCCACAAGGCCAGCCTTAGCTACATAGTGAGTTCAAGCCCAGCCTGAGCTACACAGCAAAACCCTGTTTCAAAAACAAAACAAAACATGAAATGCTGCCATCTTGTGGAAGACAATGGTTATGTTCTTTTTGGCAGAAATGGCTAAAGAAAAGGTCTCAAAAGTGTAACTTGCCACAGGACTAGAGATTGCTTTCCATTTTGTAACTTTTTATTTTAATTTTTATTTATTTATTTATTTTGGTACTGGGAATTGAACTCACAACCTCGCGTTTGCCAAGCAGGCATTTATGCCGCTGAGCTAAACCCTGGCCCTAAGTTAAACCCCCCGCCCTTGCAATTTTTTATATGACTTGAATAATTATCATTTGCATAATTAAATATTATTTTTAAACAATTTTAGTCTACTAATAAATATATTAAAAAGGACCAAGGACTTAGCTCAGCATCACACGTGCATGCTTGGAGAGCGCGAGGTCCGTGAGTTCCATCCTGGTACCAAAAAAAAAAAATTAATTAATTAAATTTCAAAAAGTTTTAAAAACCTAGCATATTTTAAAATACCCTACTTTTTAAATTTTTCTATTATTTTCTTCTTTTCAGTTTTTATTTTTGTTAGTACCCGTGTTTGCAGTACGTAATATTTACATTCCTTGTGGGGAATTGGTACAAGTGTGTAGCACATCTCAACTCTTCTTTTCTATTCCCTTCCTCTCCCTTCCCTTCTCCCTTCCTTCATCTCTTGATCTGCTTCCCATTTGAAAAAGAACTACCTCCCTGATTCTACTATGTATCTTTTATTTAGCTCTTTATGTATATTTTGGGTTTCTTATATAAGAGAAACCATATGCTACTTAAGTTAAAATAGTGTATTGTACAAGGCATTTAAAGGTGTCTTGGCTCCACTTTTAACTAGCTATGTAATTTTAATCATTTAAATTTGTTTCATCAGACCCTCATGACATTTACATTATAATATTGCTCTATTCATTTTTCATTAAATTTTTCCAACGTTCCTTTACCTTATATAGTAATTACTACTTTATATTATTCATGTACCAGAAAAAAACAAAAAGGTTTTAGTGATAACAGTTAAATCAAGCCAGGTGTGGTGGCACACGCCTGCAATCCCCAGTGCTTGGGAGGCTGAGGCAGGAAGATCTCCATGAGTTCAAGGCCAACCTGGACTACGTAACAGATCCTTTAAAAAAAAAAAATCAAAGTTGGATCAAGACAGAGACATCCTAATCCAATGGTTCTCAAACATAGCTGCACATTTAATCCATCTGGGAGCTTTAAAATCTCCAATTTCTGGGCCTGGCCTCAGATCTTCAGGGTGCCAGGGAGGTGTACAGCAATAGGCATCTTGTAAAAGCTTCTTAAATGACTCCATGCACAGCTAAGACTGAGAATTACTCCAATGATTCTGTTTCATGGTCAAAAAAATTCTGCTAGTAAACCTAGCCTAAAAAACGTCTTTCAGAGTTTAAGCTTTTGCAGCCAAAATCATTATCACTTGGGTTAGTAACTGTCCTTTTTTCAAAGATAATTATGCCCGTGGTGATTAAATTAACCAACTGAACTGATTCTAATTAGTTTAGTATTTTCTTGCTAACATCTAGATAAGATCAGCTCCATGAAGAGGTTGAAAGTTTGAATGGGGTTAGAGAAAAAGAACTAGTCTTGCAACGTATCATTACTTATGAAGTATGATGGGGACATTTGATGAACATTTAAATCTTAACAATATTATTACAACAAAAGACACATGGTTCTTTTGTTGTAAACAAAATTGGTTCCTTCCCTTAGAACACATTTGCCAATCATGCTACTCTCTGAAGCTCTTCCATCAGCCCTTTCTTGTGAGTGTCTATAGCTACACTGTCCTGTCTCAATATCCCAAATCAATGTAAAACATTTACTCTCACGGTCATTTTGACACTCATGAAGGAGGGCTTCCAAAACTGTTTCAGAAATATGGCAAGATAATGGGACTGTTGTGTTCGAAGGGAGGACGAGTACTCTGAGAGGGATTAATGACAATGTGTCTTTGACTGTAATAGCTTTTTCTTTAAACTTTCATGATATATTTGGAGACCCCCTTGTATTTGGGGAGAGGTTAGGTCTGAGGGAACTACACAAAATGAAGCAATGAACACGGGAAAACATAATTTAAATACCAAGAATGTAAATACGGAAGATGAACCAGAGCAGAAAGGGTGAACCAAAGACTAACTATAACTGCTTCACATTTTATCTAAAACTTCCTTTAATCTAATCTATAATGTAATAATTTCTAATAATGAGGTAGCATAGAAGAAATCAAATATAGGTAGAAAGTAGACACAGCGGTAGAGAAGGAGACTAGATGAGGTAAGAGGCTCCTCAGATGGCCCCAAAAGTAGTTCCTGAAGAACCTTAACTGACTTTGATAGACACATATGTGAGTAGATTAATTTTGATTAACACAGGTCTTACTTTCACTTGGTTTTAAACATCCAGCAAAACTGGATGTGGTAGCACATGCCTGTAATCCCAGCACTCAGAAGGCTGAAGCAGGAGGATTGCCATGAGTTTAAAACCAACCTGTGCTACATATTGAGTTCAAGGCCAGCTTGAACTACAGAGACCCTGTTTCAAAATGAATAAATAAATTAAAAAATACAACAACAAAACCCAGAAAAAAAGTATAACCAGCTAGAAAGAGATAAATGATAGATAGATAGATAGGTAGATAGATAGATAAGTAGATAGATAAATAATCTAGAACAAAAAGATAGGCTAGAAATTTTTGATTCCCACTCCTGCTAACCCTTCTGAAAATGTTTTCCCAGCCTTAGTATATTCCAATTGTGTTGAGGGTACCTTCAAGTTCTTCTCACGTAATGATCTAGCTTTTCTATAGCTGTGCCTATAAATTAAAAACAGCAATATAAATTAAATATTGAAGCTATTATTCACTGTTGCTTTTGTAGTATAAACCTTTTTGTTATCTACTTCAGACTTTGTATATTTATATTCTCTGGACCCAATCATTATAGATCTTTAGGTCTACAAAATAGAATCCTATAATAAAAATTTAATAGGTCAATGGCCAAAAACACAATATATATCTTTATTCAGCATTGCTATAATTAAAAAAGGAGGGCATTAGGTTTCTTATTGGCAAAACAGAAGAGTCTGTGTGCTCTTAAACTCCACCTGTTATAAGTGGGTAAATACCTCAAAATAAATAGAGGCTAATATTAAAGGCAAAAAGCTTACTCTAAATACTACTGACTTCTGGCACCGCTATCAAGAGTTTAATTTTAATATCTGGTTCTCTTATTGTTGAACAAGGTTATAAAATAAAGTTGAAGCATAATGACTTGGCTAATTGCTTGTCCTATTTTCCAGACTATCAAAATATGATGGTTTATCAAACAATGAAGCTCATCTCCCTTTGTCCCCATTACATCATTCAAGGTAAGACTTTTGAGCCTGGGCTAGGCAAGATCAATGTCCCTCCTCAGCCTGAAGCAATTACAAAGTGATGGACCATCAGGTCTTTTGTACCCCTTAAGAATCAGAGATCACAGAAAAGACAGTATACTAGTCAATAAGATATACAAATACATAAGAATTTACAAGATTGGCTTACAGTGACTGCCCAGAAAGTCAGGTATGGAAGAGTACAAAAGGACTGCGCCCTGGAGATCCAGTGAGTCCATAGCAGGAGGCCAAAGGGTCTGGCTGGAAGGCTGAAGAGTCTGCACTGGAGACATCGTCCAAGGTGACAGCCAAGCCTGGAGCTCCTCTGAAGAAGGAAGCAAGCCCCACTCATTTCCCTTTTATACCATTCTGGTGACAGTGCTCCCTAGGATGGCTCTTCCACACCCAGAACTATGCTGAGCCAATTTAGTTGGATATTTCTTACTCAAGTTGACATAATCAGTCAACCATCACACACAGAGATGAGACAAGCAAATCATAATTAAAAACTATACTTTTAAGGCAACTGTGGCTTCCAGTACTTACCATGCCACTCTCTTGGATTAATTTAGACTCTTTCCTTCCAGACATATCACACTCAGAACTCCTCAGTAATAGTGAAAATCCATAAACTGGATTAAGTGAGAAAGAGCAGAAACCTTATCTTATGATAAAGGAATAGGTTGAAGGAACCCAAAGAATGTTTAGATTTCCTATGTTAAAACCGAAACACAAGAAACCTCAGCCCATACCTGTGAAGACTGGTACCCTTCTAGGTAATGGGCCACCTTTTCCTGGGATTTCCACACCCTGAAGAGAAGCATAAATGTTCCTCATTCATCTCTAATTTGCCTGTCTCTCTTTGGCTCTATTTCTTTGACCATGTATTAAAATTAATGTTTCTATCACTTCTCGGCCTTTTGGTTAAGATCAAGTATAAAATTGATTCAACGCAATCCCAATAAAAATACCATCAACATACCTCATAGATCTAGAGAAATCACTGCTAAAATTCATCTGGAACCAGAAGAGACTTAGAATAGCAAAGACAGTTCTAAGCAGCAAAGGCAAGGCAGGAGGCATCACAATCCCTGACTTGAAGTTATACTACAAAGCAACCGTAGTAAAATCAACATGGTACTGGAATCAAAACAGAGCCAAAGATCAATGGAATAGATTAGAAGATACAACCACAACTACAAACACACTCAACCACCTTATCTTTGATAAAGGAGCCAAGCGGGTTCACTGGAAGAACGACAGTCTCTTTAATAAGTGGTGTTGGAAAAACTGGCTCTCCATTTGCCGAAAACTAAAGCTAGACCCATGCCTACCATCATGTACTAAATTAAAATCTAAATGGATCAAAGATCTGAATATTAAAGCAGAAACACTAAATCTATTGGAAGACAAATTGGGTAGAAACCTTGAAGACATAGGGGTAAGTAGAGAATTCATGAACAGGACTCAAACCGCATGGGAAATACTTCCCAGAATCAATAACTGGGACCACCTCTTATTGAAAAGTTTCTGCATGTCAAAAGAAATCTCCAGCATAGTGAAAAGAAAACCCACAAACTGGGAAAAGATCTTAGTGAACTCCCCCTCAGACAAGGGACTTTTGTCTAAAACATAAAAAGAATTTAAAAAACTCAGACCCCCAAAATTCAAAGATCCAATCCAAAAATGGGCATCTGAGATGAATACACACTTCTCAGATGAAGAAATACAAATGGCAAATAAATACATGAAAAAATGTTCATCATCATTAGTCATTAGAGAAATACAAATTAAAACCACACTGAGATTCCATCTCACTCCTAAAAGAATGGCCAGGATCAAGAAAACCAACAACAACAAATGCTGGAGAGGCTGTGGGGAAAAAGGAACTCTCCTACACTGTTGGTGGGAGTGTAGACTGGTACAACCTTTGTGGAGGTCAGTCTGGAGATTTCTCAAAAAGCTGGGATTGGAAGTCCCATTTGTTCCAGCTATTTCACTTCTAGGCATACCCAGAAGAACTGAAAGCATCA